CCCGATCTGTGTACGCCAACAAGTTATGTCAAATCAACTCCGAATTGGGGTCCAAGTCTATTTTTTACTTCTGTATACTGTATGGGTGAGCTTGAGAGGCAGTAAAACTTAAAGCTACAATTTTTTTTGGAAAAGGATTAGTTTCAATTAAAGTCTGCTAAAGAAAATTTTAAATACCCCCTACCCCCAAACAAAGCTGTGCATGGCACGCACACACACACACACTGCTCCCGGATGACATCTCCATCCCTGCACTTTTCCCGCTCATACTCACATCGGAGGCTCTCGTTGCTTTGAGGTTAAGGTGTTCGCCTCTCATTCAAAGGTCCCGGGTTCGAATCCGGGTAGATCTAGCGATGGGAAAATTTTCTTCTCTAAAATTGTCTCCTTTCACCTTCTTTCCTACTCTCTGGAAATGTTATCTGTTTTCGTCTCCACTTTCTGCCCCCACCCCTCACCTCCTTTGCTCCCTCCTCTGGGCTCCTGACTCTTTCTGTAGCCTTTCTACTTCCTAGGCTCCTTCTTACTGCTGTCTTTCAGCCACACCCCTGATCTCCTGGTAGGAAAGATCTATACCTAGCCTTCTCGGACAAGGGCGAAAAATCTCGGAGGTCTCGTGTGCAAGTTAAAGATCCCTTGGTGGTCTAAAATCTATAATAGTAGGCTTCAGCCGCCACTCGGGGAAAATTCAAAATGTCCTATCAACTGAAAATGTTTGGTGTATCCCGCGCGCTCATACTCATATGACCTTATGCAGTTGCGAGCGTCGTAAAACACTTACTAAAACTTTAAAAAACTAAACTATGTGATATGTCACGTGTTTGCTTTTGTGTTCTGGTGAATCTATGACCAGACAAAATCAGAAGCTGTCCTCAAGGAAGTGTAAAGTCAGCCCATCGAAAAAGTGCTTCAAAGACACCCTGAAAATGTCTCTGAAAGACTTCAACATGAATCCCTTCACATCGAAGAGCCTTGTGTCTGACACTGACAGACCTAGTTGGAAAGCAGCAATCATAAAGGCAGCAAATCATATGAGGCTTCATGAATTATATAGAAATCAAGAGAGAAGCCGCAGGCTGCCCACATCCCCAAGTGGAAATTTAAATCTTTTAAAGGCTTCATTAAGTGTAGCAAACTTCTCTACCAGAAATGATCTCATTGGCCATAGCAGAAGCCACAAGTCTTCTTAATCACTGAATCCTTATTTCTTCAAATTCGCTTTTGAAATAGTATCTTCTGCAGTTGCATTGGTCATCGAGAGTCTTTGACGGAAAGCTCAAAATTAAAATTTGAATATATATATATAAGTGCTTTTTTTACTCACCTATTGACTCACGGGCGAACTATTTACAAATTGTTATTGATAAGACAGCACCAACCTCCATGATGACATCTCCCACCTC